ACTACGCGGCAGCGCGCTAGATGCACGCTTTAAAAGTAGTCGTAAACGATTTCTTATAAGAGATTTGTATATATTTAGCTAGTATTACACCTATTCTAGAAAACTCGAAGTTGGTGTGTGTGCTGAATATCCTGGATTATTCTAACCCTGTATTTCTTTCGACTCACAGTGCATAAGCCACTTCAACGCGAGGTGATTGTCTCATTGTTACTTCCAATTGGACCACTTGGACTGTCGGGGTTCTCGTATGTCTTCTTCTTCGTCTTCGTATCTTTGTTGACTGTTGACGACACTAACCTTGGAATAGCTTGATAGCGCTTGGAAAAGTAGCTAGACACAGCTTTCCACTCAGCGGCACGATCCCACACGTGGCCAATACCGGAGATATTTTCTACCTCTTCGGCTTAATAGTCGGCATATTACTCTGGGGTTTTGCAGTCGTTTGGTTTATTACCGCTGCCATTATGATTGCAACAGCATATCCGTTCCCCTTCAACATGGGATGGTGGGGCTTTATATTTCCAGTTGGTAAGTTAACTGAAAATTTTATACTTAAGAGTGGCATTTTCCTCACACAGATATTAGGAGTTTTCACACTTTTGACTATTTCGATTGGAGAAGAGTTCGAATTTAAATTTTTCAAAGTTCTATCTTGCGTAAGTTGCACCTTTATTTGAAAAGAGCACAGACTAATTTTACAGGTTTTGACCGGAATTTGTGTAGTCATGTGGTTTATCGTGGCAGCGAGAACGGTGAAGCGGGCTGCTAGTGGTAAGATGTTCTTTGCACCATGCTTAGGAACAGACTTGTTTCTGAAAAGAGTGGAATAACCGAAAAAAGCTTTAGGGATGTTGTGGCGATGAATGTGATAGCTGTGAACAGTAGCTGCAGATTTACATGATAAATTGTGGACTCAGCTCTATTCTTTGAAAGTCTTACCGGACTGCACGATGCAAATTGGAGACAACGACAGGCATCCAATAAAAAGCAATAATCGATTGTAATCAGTTGTCTGACAAAAGTATACCTAGAAGAATACATTTCCCCCTAAAATATGTGGTTAACTAGTCCTGCTTGCAGGTAGGAGTACAACCATCTTCCTTAAAGTGGCATAATCTTTTTTTTCTGAACCACAAAAAGGAACGAACAAGCTCTCCAGCGGGGAATTGAACCACGGTCTCCCGCGATCTGCCAATTGCTTAACAAGCGGAAATACTCACCACTGTGTAATTGTGCTGTCTACTATTATATCTGTTGAACTTTCCGTTCTAGGTGACGAATACGTTTTAATCTTCCTCCTTTCGGTCACAGCAAGCCGAGAGCGGGCTTCTGTTTTAGGTATCGCGCCCTCGAAGCGGATACCAAGTTCCTAAAGAGTCCTTTGGCCGAAGCTCCATTAAAGAAAGATTTAGTAGCGCAGGTAGTATCTCATGCCAGGAACGGGTCTTTACCTTGCTGCAAAATCTCTCAAGTAAAAGAATCAATAGTTGTGGCAAGAACGAAAGAATGTTGATTCTACCTATTGCTAACAGCTCGTAATCCGCGTGTAGAAATTCTTCTCGCTATTACGCGCATAGTTTTGATCGCTGTAGATAAGTACTCTTAGAGCTCTTTATCCTTTTCCGATATCTCGCCAATAGGACTGATATCAATAAACCTCAAATCTCTTTGAAAACGACGCTACGAGATGCGTGTGCACCTGTGCGTTCGAATCTTTATTTCTTTACCCTCTTTGCGCGATTTGGCCGGTGCCTAGTCTCCTTGCACCCAGGCTCAGTCCCTAGTTCATCACAGCAACTCCATATAAAACCCTCTGGATATACCTCACGCATATCCTGTGTATCTATTGTGCCGTGGCATCTCTCGTCGTGGTCAGCCCAGAAGTCGCCCTCGTAGTCTACTTCTAATTCGCCTGCAGATTACAAGTTAATTGGCGTCTTTGTACGTAACCTCTCTTATCTAGTATGTACTCACCTTCATGCCATTGACAACTCTTCTTCTCGTTATGCAGGACGTCATACTCCTCGCCGCACTGCTCGCATATATCGAACCGCGGTCTACGTACTGGCGCATCAGTCTGCTCGTCAGAGTAGTCCGACTCAGTGTCATCATCTTCCTTGTCCTGTTCCTCTGAACGGGCCCTCTTCAACGCGCCGGGCCGCAGCATCAATTCGCCTTGAATATACGCGAAGTTGGCAGGAGAGGTTGTACTCAAGTGCTTCAGCAACGCACGCACACGCTCCGGCGTGGCAGAGTCGATAACATTGTACAAGTTCTGGGTTTCTTCGGAAGAACGTTGAGAATGCGCATCTGAGGAGGCCATTTTGCGAATTGTGAGTTACTTCAGACGCATATGTGATTATTCATGTGACTGTTGAGGTACGCGATTGCAGTTGACGTGCACCACCAGTAGTAAGCTGCGCACCCCAGTCAGCCGCACACCCCACACAACCTGACGCGACTCTCTCCACAACCACCACCATGCCGCGACAATAACGTTCTGTTCAGACTCTTCATCAGGGTAGACTTTGTCCTAACAGAATCGTATCAAAATAACCAAAAGAAAATATCTCCATGCCCTTACAGCAGCCGTACGACGTCCCAGAATCAACGCTAGAAACGCGTCTCGCAGTACCTAGCCACGGTCAGTGATAGTCTCTGTTAATCACAAGCTATTGCCTATTAAAGAGCAGTCCCTTTTACAATAAATTCTAGAGCAAGATCAACTTGGCTTTCCACTACATATTATCAACATGCAACGAATAGCAGACGCTTTACTTACCGCGCGGCTATGATCTGTTATGGGCGGAGAGGCTTGACTAACGAGTTTGCATTCATCTATTGTACCGAAGAGGAAATATAAAGAAGAAAACGAAACCCATCCTACGGACCCCCCTTTTGAACTACACCCCTTCTAGTCTTACTAGGCCTAGTCGTACGGAAAGGTTAGGTGGTGTATTTGTTGAGTCACGTGTGTATGTCACGTGATAATGCACGTGACCCTCTCTTGCGGTGAATACAAAAGTAGCCATCTACAATTCTAGACGGCTATAGTAGCTATACTACACTAGACTTCGACTAATACTGCATCAAGTGCAAGATTATTACTATTCGCATGCTGCTCTATACTCCACCTTCTCTAGCCACTTAATATAAGTTACTTCTTTCTACTAAAGCACGTATATGTGTGTAAGTGTTATGAACCTGAAGGCAGAAGGACTGCAACAAAAACAAGGAAGGAAATCTTGATACCCTAATTCCTCAAGGCTTGTTTTCGGAGGTTCGGCAGGTAGGAGTAAGAATATTGTTACAAACAAACAAGATTGGCCTTTGGAGGGCCAGAAGGATGCAAGGGGTCAAAGGAAAAGTGATGACCATGCATGAAAGGGTTAATAGAGACCTGGCAAGAGTCAGTGTAGGGCGTTGAGGCACGTGACGTGCCATCTCGCTAAGAAAGGATAAATAGGATAGTAGGACTAAGTGTAATAGGTATGAGAATAGGTTGGATTTCATTGTTACTGTCAGGGACTGGGCTAACTATCGGGCTGGGCAGATAGTTAGGCAGCTGAGGATATTTACTATCCTGTGCAGAGTATCATCAGAACGCTGATCATGTAAGGGTGTATAGTAGCAGCGAGCAATACTCCGAGAAATGTAAGATTGATTCATGCCCTTCTATGTCTATCCTTGGGCTTCTTCTTATACAAGCCGGCAGAGGCGTACCATGGGACCGCCATCTCAACGGCCTCGCAGCGCTCTGGTAGCGAAGGGTCTTCGCCAGAACCGTTGAGGGTTTATTCCAAGGTACCCCTGGCCCTGCGCGCCAGCGACCCTCTGTCGAGTCGTCGTGGCGTCATACTCTTACATAGGGGTTCTTAGAGAAGGTTAGTCAATAGTACTAATAAAAAGAGCGATAGTATAGTTATTAATGCGTTCTCTAATATTAAATAGGGATGTAGTAGGAGGACGAGTGCTAGAGAATAGACGTACACTAGACTGGCTAATTTATATATATCGTGTGAGTATGCTGGGCGTTTAGAAGAAAAAGTATCCTATTATACTACACGTGCCAGCACGCGAGGATTGACATTAATTGAAGAAAAAAGAAAACGAAAACCCTCACCTCAGCCTAGGGCGCGTGTAACTCGTGGTCACAACCTTCGATGCTCCACCAAAAAAGAAAAACTCTCCAGCGGGGAATTGAACCCCGGTCTCCCGCGTATTGTCAGATGACAAGCGGAAATACTGACCACTATACTACTGAAGATGATTGATGGTAGATTTCACTTTTTTGCAATTAATGAGTGGAGTATGCATAGCCACAGCAACTTATTGCTGGAGATATCATCTGTGCCCCACACAAACCCTTTATCTCGTTTTGATGATCACAATCCCGTCCGCTAGATGACTAAGAACTTTGCACTCAGCCAATGACTTGGCGCAACATTTACCCTGCTTCCCCCCAAGTCGTTGTCGCCTTGATGTTATTTCACTGTTTAGTATTTGTGGCTGACACAGCTGAGATCCATTCGATCTAATTCAAGAAGTTCCCTGCGTGGCGAAAGTTGCATTAACTTTGTTCCAACACTATGGCGAACTTCCCCGCCCGAGTCGCTTGGCAGCTGAGACTCCATTTATTTATAAAAGCAACGATGATTCTACCGAATGTACTCCGTCTATACTGGTCAACACGAGTTCTCTTTCACGTTTTCAAACTCGAGTGGACTCTTAGTGTTCTTGTCAAGATTACTTCCGATTTTCACGAGACCAACTAAGCGCACAATTAGCAAATTCGCCAACGGTGCTCGAACAGGATAAGGCTGGGGATAGATGGAGCCACATGCTCAAACAGAGGGATCGGTCTGCGAGAATTGCAAAGATATCAAGCGGGAACTCCCTACAAATAATGACATTTTGTGGAAATTTCCTATCAACCTGAGACAAATTATAGAAAAAGGTAGAAAATATGGCCCAGGATTCCGTTGTTCCTACCCAAGACTGTCGCCCCAGTAATGCTCAATCTCAAAAGGAAGATAGGAATACAAGTTGACGCAATTGGATCTTATAGCGCCAGTTCAGGTGAGTTTTTATTGATAAAAGAACACAAAGAAGAACGCCCCAAATGCATCATTCGCTCATCGACAATCTCGTCTAAGCTAAGCATCTCTCATAACCTAGAAAAACCCACCTACTTGTTGGATGGATACCAGAAGTCAGTCTGCGGGAAGAACTCTTCTTTGATAAGGCGCGGCGTCGTAAAGCGGAGCAGCGTATTGGGGCTGCCCGCCTTGTCGTTCGTCCCAGACGCGCGGCTGCCGCCAAAGCTCTGCTGCCCGGTGAGTGCGGCTGTAGTCTTGCAGTCTGCATAATCTTAGCTGTTTATCGTGTACATGAGTACCTGGACGACCTACTGATATAGAAATTTCCCGCAGAGTACCGCAGCGTATCCTCTGCCTCGCGTATTGCTGCGCGCGAGTTGGCAAACACCGCACCAGTGAGTGCGAATCCGCCGCCCGCTTGGTCAACCTTTTCGAGAATTGCCGGCCACTGCGCATCGGGGTAGACGTGAATTACTAACACAGGCCCGAAGATCTCATAGTTGAAGAGCTTGTGGTCGGGCGAGTCGGCGATGTACACGGTAGGCTTGACGTAGAAGCCTTCCGTGTCGTCGTAGGTGCCACCTGCGAGTAGCTTGAGTGAGGGGTCCTTGTTGCTCTCGTCGATGACGGCTTTGATCTTCTCAAAGGAGTTGCGGTGGATCACAGGGCCCATAAAGGCAGCGAGGTCCTTGTGCGGGTTGCCCTGGGTGATAATCTTTACGTCGGCGAGAAAGGCCTCGAGGAACTCGTTGGATCGGGATTTAGGGAGGTAGAGGCGTGATGTGGCAGAGCACTTCTGGCCCTGGTACTCGAAAGAACCGCGGATGGTGTGCTTGACGGCTGATAGGATGTCGGCAGTTGGGTGGATGAGGGTAAAGTTTTTGCCAGAGGTCTCGCCGACGAGACGGGGGAACTCGCGGTAGGTGTGTTTGCCAATCTCCTGGCCGACCTTGGCCTGCAATTTGCGGAAAACATCTGAAGAGCCTACGAAGCCGAGACCAGCAAAGTCACGGTGGTTTAGGATGACGTCGTTGATCTCCTCTGGATCGCCGGGGATAAACTGGATGACATCTGGGGGAAGACCAGCCTCGAGGAGAATCTCGTAAACAATCTGGCTGGCGTAGACGTTGGAGGGAGAAGGTTTCCATAGTACTACATTACCCATAATGGCAGGTCCAGAAATTAAGTTGCCACCAATGGCAGTGAAGTTGAATGGCGAGACGGCGTACACGAAACCCTCGAGCGGTCGGTAGTCCAGACGAGACCACATACCGTCAGAACCACGGTAGGGTTGCCTGCCAAGGAGTTCCGCAGCGTAGTTGGTGTTGAGACGGAAGAAGTCAGCTAGCTCAGCAGCAGCATCGACCTCGCCCTGCCATATGTTCTTGCCCTGGCCAAGCATGGTGGCAGCGATAAGTTTATAGCGGTACTTCCTGGAGACGAGCTCTGCAGCCTTGATGAAGATGGCGGCACGGTCCACAAAGGGAGTGTCTTGCCATGACTTCTTCGCCTTGAGTGCGGCGTCAATTGCAGCCGAAACTTGGTCCTTGGAAGTCAAGGGATTGTTGGTGAAGACAGTCTTGTGATCTGCAGGCAGGACCTGGTCCCATGACTTGCTCGACTGTTGAGCAATACCATTGATGAAGATGTTGGACTTGAGGGGAATCTGCGCCTGGAGCTCCTTCAGAGCCTTTTCAATCTCAGCCCGTTCAGGCGAGCCCTTCTCGTAGTTTGGATTGGGCTCGTTCCGCTCTGGGGGAAGCTGGAACGGAAGCGTAGCACTGCCCGTGGTCTTTGTGCGGATTTGGGTGTTGCGGCCCACATGAAGAGCAGCGGTCCTCGAGGCAGCAGGCCTTAAGCGTAAAAGTAAAGTAGACATGATGGGCGTGTATATGGATTGGACGCTGTGAGCAGCGCCCCGCCCTTGAAGTATTCCATTGTTGGCCAGCAAATGCACTCCAAGCCGAAGTCGCAGCAACAGTTTCCCACGATACGGGATCAGAGCCGGCGTAGAACACACCCCTCTCATTCAATAATGGATGGCGCACCATGCTCCGTGCGCCAAGCTGCTCGTCGGTACTACTAGGAAACACAGGCATGCATCTGCGGCCCGTGCGCGATCGGGAGAGCAACCGTAGTAGCGCGTGGAATATATGCGAGCATGCATGCGAGACTGTGGAGCATCGCCTTTACCCCCAACTGTCGTCCTTCCGGCAGGCATGCCGAACATGGTCAACGTCCACGATGGCTGCGAGAACGCGGACGGCGATGCTGCGGAAAATTCGCCGTGTGCAGAGAGGAGCAGCTGGCACTGACCGTCGCCTTTTGTAGATGAGTTCCCGCCGTTTACAACCCTCGAATCCACCCTGTTTCTGCTCCTCACCTTGAATGTCCATGTCGTCTCCCATCTGAACCCATGCCGAGTATTGTGCCTCCCAGCGGCGTCTGGTGCCCTGCTGTTACCTTTTTCAATCCAGATACCGACGAGCTCGCACTTGATGCCCAGGCGCGCTACTTCCACTACCTATCGACGACGGGCCTCGCTGGGCTCGTGATCCTGGGCACGAATGCAGAGACGTTTCTCTTGACGCGTGAAGAGCGCAAAGAGCTCGTCATAACGGCAAGGCGTGCGGTCGGCCCGCACTTCCCCCTCATGGTAGGCGTAGGCGGACATTCTACACGTCAAGTTCTTCAATACATCGCCGACGCAGCCGACGCAGCCGCCAACTCTGTGCTTCTGCTCCCGCCCGCCTACTTTGGAGCTGCAACGACACCACAGGTTGTAGAGGCCTTTTACGACGATGTTGCCAAGAGGAGCCCGTTGCCCATCGTCATCTACAACTTTCCTGGCGTGTGCAATGGCGTAGACCTCCAGTCCGACCTGATCGCCAACTTAGCCCAGCGACACTCCAACATTGTCGGTGTCAAGCTGACTTGCGGCTCTGTCGCCAAAATCACCCGTCTGGCAGCTGTCCTCCCAAAGGAGCGCTTCGCAGTCTTTGGTGACCAGTCTGATTTCATCTTAGGCGGCCTAACCTCTGGGTCCAGTGGCTGCATTGCCGCGTTCACCAACGTCTTCCCTAGAACCATTGCGCACATCTACAAGCTGCACCAGCAGGGTCGGAACGATGAGGCCCTGGCATTGCACCAAAAGGCTGCATTAGCTGAGCAGCTTATCAAGGCCGGCATTGCTGCGACCAAGTACGCGGCTGCGATACACAGCGCCAAATACGCGGGAATCGACAATGCTGTGGAGCTGCTGAGACCACGCAAGCCCTACTTTGAGCCTGCACCTGCTATCAGAGAGAAAGTCATGTCTACAATGGCTGAAGTGGCTAGGATCGAACAGAGCTTAGGTTCGTACCCAAACCTCTCTGCTCGATTGTAGCGACCCTGCCTTCTTTCATGTCATTCTCGCTTGCTGATTGTTTTTCTCGTCGTTTCTTTCCCGACATACCTGCTAGCTAGACAAATCTTAGGGCGTGTTTAGCTGCGGACTCTACGCTGAGAACTTGGCCTAACTCAACCCCAAACCAGCTTGCGGATAGCCTTATTTTCATCCTCAGAAATTGTCCACTGAAGTCAGGCATTAATACAATACATTGCGTTTAGCGCAGTTTTCTATACGATCTCTCAATTAAATACTCTATTTGATTATCTCTCTCTATCTACGCCTCGACTATTAGTCCTACACTATGACAGAGAACTCAGTCGAAAACCAAAGAGTTAGAGTTATCATGCCTAACAACAAGCTCGTCGCACTCGCCTCCTATAGTAAGACAATGCAGGAGTAGGAGGTAATGACATGGCTTCACTGCAGCTTGCTTGAAGATTATAGCCCCACTGTTATTTGTTTTTAAGAAAGCTTGAGCAGTTTCTAACCTAAGGATTGACTATTTAAGTGCAAGTAAAAGAGGCAAATGAAAGCTTGAAACTAGACTTGAGGTTCAGACTAGATTCTTGTTTTTAATGTTCTTTCTTTGTATTGTTGTTTTATCGTATGCCTACTTATCCTTGTGCAGTTTCACGTCGCATGTGGCTTGAGAGTCTTTTGAATAAGAGAAAAACGTGGTTCAACTAGTGAAAAATGGCAAGCCATTCTCATATACAAAGCGAGGGCTCAACACCCCCTACCCATTTTTGGGATCATTCCTCATTCTTCTAACTCTCAGCCACTCACTGCCTACCCGTATTCTCCCTCGTATCATTAACATGCAGCCCTTCCCTCTCGCTGCCCATCAAACGTGCAAGCGTGACTGCCTCCCTCAGCGCTTTTCCTAACGCGCCCCTCACCCCCATCTCCTCCATAACCATAATCCCCCCAATCGTGCACCCCTCCGGACTCGTCCCCATATCCCGCAACTCCCCTGGCTGAATTCCACTCTGCAACATCTCCGCCGAGCCCCGCATGCTCTGGTATATCATCTCTTGCGCAGATTTTCTAGGGACACCCACTGCAACAGACGCATCAATAAAGGCGTCGCAGATGATGGCCCAGAAGGCGGGTGTCGAGCCACCCACGGCAGATGCGGGAGCCATGAGTTTCGGAGCGAGCTGCACCGTGCGGCCGAGCTGGTTAAAGATGGCTTCGCAAGTTTTGATGTGCTTGTGAGGCATGTCTGGATCTGGGTCTTCGATGGCGGTGAGCGATTGGGAGACCTGCGCCGCCACGTTGGGAAGGGTGCGGAGGACCCATGTTCTCTCATCTATGCTTCGTGATCCTTGGGCAGAGGAGATGACCTTTTGTAGGCTTTCGCGCGACCAACCTGCGGCAATACTGATAAGAAGTTTGCCCCTGAGACCCGCTGCGACGCCGTCGTCCTTTAGAGTTGCTTCAACGTCTGCGGGATGCACGCCTAGAATCACGACTGAGGCATCTGAGACTGCATGTGCGTTCTGGTTGCGAGAGATGACAAGTTTCCCAGACTCTTTCTCCTTGGGAAAGCGCTTTGCTAACCGTTCTTCCGATGCAGCACTGTATACACAGGCTATGAAATGCGTGAAATGGACTTCGGAGCCTTCTGAGGCCTCGATCAAACTTTTCAATATGGATGTTCCTAGATTGCCTAGGGTTCTATGTGAGATGGTGATTTTACCGTTGGGGTCTTATAATCTACCGCAGCCAAGAATGCACAGAGTAGGGCCAGCCATGTTGTTCTTGTATTATCGTTTGGTACGTTTCTACAAATGAGGAGAAATAATACTTTACGCAAGTTCGGTGATACGTTTTGTATATCGTTTCTGCTGAGAGCCGACGTTACCCTTCGGCCGAAGTCGCAACGGCTGCCTCGCCGATTGGGTGTTCCTGCCCCACATCGTGATACGTTGTTATCGTTCATGACACCATCGATCCGCAGAGATGGTGATGCCTAGCAATGTGTATCGATGAGTCAGACGCTGTCTGTATCTAAAGAGGTGGATGTCTTTCCAGGAACATAGATATTCATGGTAACCTCTTGGTTTGGGGATATCCAGCCCGAGTCGCTTGAAGACATAGGGCCCAACATTTCCGTGCTTGCGAGACAGTCTCAAGATCGACCTACAACGTACGGCTGTGTATAGCTGCTCAGAGACGGGAATGAGTCGGAGGGAAGAGAAACACTGCTGATTACAACACCCACAAAGATCTGGGAAACAAACGAATATCAATCTTATGACTTTATTCATGCTGTTTCATGTGCTTACAGCGTGGAAACTGTCTCCTACACTCTCCTAAGTCCCATCCGTCTCCAGAACTCCTTCTTCAATGCATCGAACTCATCCTTGGTCCTCAACACCGCATCCCGATTCTCTACCGCTCTCTGCAAAAGATACGCCACGCAATCCCCCATGCTCCCCCAAGTTGAGCACTTGAAAACATCTGGTGCCTTTCCATCTGCGCACTGTTCTTTCAGAAGCGAAAAACCAACCTCATCCGACATACCATGCAGCTGTGCGAAGGCAACCGGCACTGTAGGCAATCCACTCTTTTCCCGCTGCACGTGCAATCGCTGTGCCGTGATGACGCTCTTCTTGTTGTGGCTAGCAAGGAGTAGGTTGAGCGCCGGGAACGGTCGCGAGACACCAAAATCCCAGAGCTTCTGCTGGAGGGCACCCTCCATGATGCCGTTGTACGCTGCGTTAGTGTCCTCCTTTGTATTATGGATCACAGAACGGTCGTCAGACGAAATGTAAGCGCCTCGAACGAGCTTCAAGCCGAGCGTGAAGCCATCTTTCTCTGCCTCAGCGAGATGCTGCTGGAGATACCTGGGTTGGTTCTTTAGGTACGCCTGATATGTGTTGTAGATGACGACTTTGGGCTCACGATTGAACTTGCGCATCAGCTCGAGCGACGTGCGAGCGATGCCTTTCTGGAAGTACTGCGACTCGGCGTCGACGATGATCTGGATTCCGCGTTCCTTGCACCTGGTTTCAATCTCGTCGAGGGCATCCATCATCTGCTGTGGCGGCAGCTCGCCTCTGTGGAAGGCCTCTCCCACCGCGGGCCCGCCACCGGTAGTCTTGAGTGCGAGGATGTCGCCTTTATCGATCATGTCGACCGTGGCGAGCGTTCCTACGCGCCACTCTTCGATCACGGGATCATGTGCTGATACGGTCTCTGCTTTTGCTGCTTGTTCAGCGTGGAAGCTCGATGCTTTGCTCTTGTGGTCGAACACCATCTCTTTGGCGTATGTGAGGATGGTTCCTTTAAAACCGAGGTCTTTCAAAGACTTGCAGCAAGCCTTCGTCTCTTGCTTCGACTCTCCCGCACAAAACTGGTTGTAGAAAGTCTTCTTGAGGATTCCATGGAGGACGGGATTCCGATCCACGTTGAAAAGGTAGCTCCTGCCTGGTTTCGCGAAGAATGACAACAATTTCAAGGAGGGTATCAAAAGGTATCTCTTAGAAGATATGGTGGCTATGGAAAAAGATCGAAGGAACATCTGAAGAGGCATCTTTGCTCTCATGATTTTGTCAGTGGAGGTTTTTGAGTTGTTCCCACTGCTTGTGCAGGCCAAGAACGAGGGGCCATAATCACACTTACAATGGTGCATCTGATGCTGCTACCTCTCGAGGCAATACTTTTGTCGTCCGCGATATTGTTTTCGTATCATTGCTCATTCCTGTGTGTGCTCCGACACTCCTGGTCGGCGGAATGACACCAGTGTGCCACCGAACCTGGAGGTAAGATACAGTGGCCAAGCTATCCTTTGCCAATCTCCTTGTGGTCACCACACCGATACTATATGGTAGCATTGTTATTCCGGGTAGCGTCTCTTAGTTGAGCGAAGAAACGTTCAATCAGCAAGGTAGCCTAGAGACCAAATGGCGGACCATTACCATTAAATAACCATCTTCATGTACTTGCTGTATACCCCACCAAGCCATACACAGGCACCTCGAAACGACAGCCCCGCATCTGCTTCTCCAGCGAGATCTGTGCTTCCGTAGACAAAATAGGCTAACCCATGAGCAACTTATGCTCCTCCCGATAATTAGTCATACAACGGACAGGCAGCCGATTCGCAGAGCGCCGCGTTTTAGCATATACGTGTAGTGCGTGATCGATAACGGAATAATGATCCGGGCGGTTACTCTTGTTTCTAGCCCTGTAGAAGCCGATGGTAGCCTTCTGGAACCGACTATCGAATCGTCTGGGCTTTGGCGGAGCATCTAGTATGCAACGAACACTGAAGCGAATGAATCGATATTGAGAAGCTCCATTGGCTTTATTGGTGCCTGAAGCTTGAGATGGCTGCCCAGTTTCGAATATCCTAGTGCTCTTGGTATGCATCCCTAGCTTGGCTACTAGCACACTGGTAATCATACCTGTTCCATTGCCTAATGCGGCTTGCTCTTACGCGATATACACTTGGTACTACAGTCACTCGTCAAAAGTTTCGCATAGCTAGCCCCACCCACCCCACTAACTACCAACCTCACCACCACTTTGAGTGCCCACCACCACTCCACCACTGCACCAATTCGAGCGCTGAGTGTAGAAAAAGATGGTGCGCGGTCCAAATATGACAATGTATCAGCGAGACATTACAATTAGGATGTTGCAGGGGGGTGCAACGCTCTCAGAAGTCGCGACCAAGTTTGGACGCGCGCCATCCACTATCCACCGACTACTATATGTAAAGTTCTCCACCACCACTACCACGTGCGATAGGCCTCGATCCGGCCGACCAAGTATACTATTGGCTCTTCAGAAGAAGATTAAATATTAAGCTATACGTGCGACGCTAAAAAATACTATATAAAAAGCTTGCCTAAGTAGCTTTTATAATGCGACCTGATGGCACCTCTTCGAAGCCTCCTAGCCACAGTACATTATACTAGACACTCCGCAGTTAGAATCTACGCAAATTTTGCTATAAACGCATATAATAATTCTACCTATAATATAACGATTACAGCATAGCAGAGGAAGAGTAGAATATCTTTTGTAAGGTTCTAAAAGACTGCTGGCGGCATATACCGCGCAGCATTGAGGCTATAATTGGCTCAATGCCGCGCCGTCTAGCAGCTTGTCGAGCTGTAAAAGGCTGGCAAACCAAATACTAGTATCCAGGAATAAAATCTATTTGTCAGATTTCAAAAATATATTGTTTTGGTAGAGATTTTGGTGGTAGAGTTATGTTGGGTGAGTTTTGGTGAGGGTGGGGATTCGGAGGAGTTTGTGAAACTTTCGACTTAGTACTGTAGAATGATCTGCTACTGCCGCCTTTGAATGTTCTTTATCCTCGGTTTTCTATGTGTGCTTCATATCTGAGCCACTCACCAAGAATGAAGGTGCATAAACACAAAAACAATGTAACACAGTCGTAGTTCCAAATATTTGCTGTTCTAGAAAGTGCCTATCTAGAAGCTGGATGTTGGCCACAAAACACAACGGTTGTTTAACCGCCGTCCCCAAATATTATCAACATTCAATCCGAACCCTCACAACCTCTCTGCCCTCATACCACCATCCTCTACTACCCCCCTAAACCACCCCCTCAACCCTGTATTCACAATTCCCCCCACCCCAAACGCTGGCACAATTCTCACACACCGCACGGCCGTCGTCCCTGCTAATCCTCTTTGTATCCGCTTCGCCCGTTTCCCTCTCTCTCTCTTTCCAGGAATTGAAAACAAGTCCAGCCCCAGAAGATGCACAGGCGTCGCCGCTAGTTGCGACAGGACTGGCATCAGCAGCTGCGCCACCGCCATTTGCGCCGCGGGATCGGCGATGGGGATGCGGTGTGTGAGCATGGGCGGGAGGGTGAAGGAGCCCAGGATGGTAATGGCGTCGCGAGCGAGGAAAGTTGCGGCTACAGCTTTGGGGAATTTGGTGGGAGATCGAGGAGGAAGTGGTGGTTTAGTTTGAGGCGTATTCGCGGGTCCCGGGGGCCGCCCGCCGAACGTTTGCACGAAGCAAATGTCTTTGCAGACCCCGAGTGGAACGTTGACGGTGCACGTCGCGATGAAGATGAGTGAATTGGCAAGGAATTCGGGGGACTTGTTCATGGAGATGCTAGTGAGGGTGTTCATGCTGTTGGCAGTAGTGTAGGTGGCTGCATAGAGCATCCACATGTAGATGAAGGGTTTTGCAGCAAAGAATGACTTTGGGTAGCGGATGGTGCAGAGTAGGTTTTCTTTCAGGGCGGTTGAGAGGGGCCGCGTGGTTGAGGAGACATTTTCGACGACAGCTCTATGAGAGGTTACAATATGAAAATGGAGAAGTGTGAAAGGGGATCCACCTGTCTATCGCCGTGAGAATGGGCGATATGAGTGTAGCCGAGAGAAAAGCTGCAGAAACATCACCGGCTAGGTAGCTAGGAAGTCGACTGTTTCGCCAGCCTCGAGTGATGCTCTGAGTTTCGACAAGCTCCGTCATGAGAGCAGTGATGAAGCGAAGAAAGGCCAGCTTCCCCAATTCCAACTATATCCAATCGCCCAAGTCTACGTGTATGTGACGCGGACCAAAATGATCACAGGCTGATGTGTTGAGCTTCCGGTCAATTGCCCGATCTCGTATTCATTGCCTTGTTCCAGAAGCGCATTTTGGCCTCCGTTAACGGTATGCTATCATGCGATCAATATGGAGCTATACGGCAAGAATTCCGTCAGTTGTTCAATGCATCTGCATCATGATAGACAATACATCGGCAGGCCTCCCGTAGGGCACCAGCTCGCATTGCCCCACCACCAGCGCTAATTCCCCGTAGTTGCATATCGTCAGTCCCTACGTATTCCGATAATTCCGATGCCGGCCAAGAATCGCTTGATTGTAGTTGGGATTGTTGCAACATCGCTTCGCTACGTGTTGTTTACAAAGTAGGGACATCTCTGCGACACATTCCTGCACCGCAGTTTCATTGAATAGTTACAGCTACTCAAAATGACCCTTCCTGGGAGCGAACCTATTGCTATTATTGGCGGCGGTGCATTTGGTCTATCCACAGCGCTCGAGCTTTCAAGAAACGGATACACCAACATCACTGTTTTCGAGAAGGACGAAGAGATTCCTTCGCGTTGGTCCGCTGCAAACGATCTCAACAAGATTGCACGAGCAGAGTATGAGGACGACTGGTACACTGATCTTGCAATCGTATGCCTCCCCCTCACATTGGGTTTGCTAAAAAAAAAAAGAAAAACAGCCCCATCTAACTCAGGAATCAGGAAGCAATGAAAGAATGGCAAACACCCTTCTACGCCCCCTACTTCCACCGTGTCGGCTTTCTAAACTGCTGCTCGGAAGCTGCTCCCCAAAAAGCCATCGACACAATGGAGCGGTTTAAAGCAGCGGCAGAGCGCAGCTCCGTCATAAAGCCTTTCGTCCGTAAGGTTAGTGACCGTAAAGATCTCCTTCAAGCATGCTGGCAGTTCACTGGTGCTTTTCCCGGATGGAGAGGCTATATAAACACATATGACGGCTATGTGCACTCTGCGAATGCGCTGCGTGGTGTTTATCGTGCTGCGAGGTCTAACGGTGTGAGGTTTTTCCTCGGCGAGAAGGTCGGCGCGGTTGAGGAAGTTGTTTACGAGAGCACCAGTCGGGGAAGGCGGGGCACTGGTGTACGAACCCAGGATGGTCGCGTGCACCCTGCATCCCTCATTGTTGTTGCAGTAGGAGCAGCTGCACACAAGATTCTGCCCGAGCTGAGCACCAATGTCTCAGCAAAGTCGTGGTCTGTCGGCCATGTACGCCTCACTGACGACGAGACTGCGGCGCTCCGCGGTATTCCCGTTGTATATGCCCGTGATTTAGGCTTCTTCTTCGAGCCAGACCCGAAGACGAACCTCCTCAAGCTATGCCCGATGGGCGGCGGCTATATCAACACGGATCCTTCAAGTGGTGTGTCGAAAGCGCCGGAAGAAGTCAACCGCTTTGTACCGTACGAGGATGAGCTCAAGATGAAGGAGCTCCTCCGTCAGACACTGCCACACCTTGCAGACCGACCATTGGTCAAGAAGTCACTGTGCTGGTTCGCTGATACCGATGACTCGGATTTCATCATCGACTACGTGCCCAAGACATCGGCTTCGGTTATGGTCATGACCGGCGATTCCGGTCATGGTTTCAAGATGTTCCCTATCGTAGGTCGTTGGGTGCGTGACCTGTTGAACGCGTCGGGCGGACAGCAGCCGATCAAGAGGTGGCGGTGGAGGGAACCGAAGCCTGTCAATGGCGAGACGATTGAAGAAGCCGACGTGAGCTGGCGAGTGGGAGATGTCAGAGAGCTCCGCGATCTGTCGGAGCAACCAGTCAGGGCGAAGTTGTAGTGTTGTGGGTTCATGGTTGGATAGCCCAGATTGGAGCGCGAATTAGACTATCCGTTTTATTTCTGAAAATTGACTGTCGAGGTTAACATGACTGAGAAATCCTTGCTTGTGACAAATGTGCCGAAACAAACCAAAGGTTTTCCCTGCAGAGCCTGCTCTGTGTCATCTTACGACACGCCACATCTCTTATGGTTCATTTCTGTATTGTTTGTCGTTTGGATGCACCATGAGCCGAACACTGGCAAGAATATCCCAAGACTTTGTTACTTAACTCGCACCGTTTTCATGAACTCCCAGATCGATATAAGAACATTCTAGATGTGATGCTCATGTGGATCCACCATTTGATATATATCCATAGTCGCGAGCATATTGAACCAATCAGTCGTACCCAGATCCATTGACTCCGCCACAGCAAGAATCTGCTCTGCAGTCAAATCGTCGCCGAATCCGCTACTCTCGTCGCTAAATGCAGTGTACATTCCCATAGCTTCGGGATTCATCATGGTCCGCGTCGATTGCATGTCGGAGGGCATCGAGTTTTCATGTGGTGGTGATTGGTTCTGACCCACGGGTTGCTGTTGTTGAGGTAGAAGAAGTGCCGGGTATTGCTGGCAAGTCCGGTTTGCAGAGTACTCAGAGAGCAGTTCCTCCAGTTTACGCAACTCAGCAGCCCTGAATTTGGCAATTTTGTTCCCGTTTGATATCATGGTATCGAGGAAAGCAAAGGCCTTGTTTATCCAGGCTGAACTGTTTTCGGAAAGGGTATCATCGACGAATCGTATCAAGACAAGAACCATTGTGGACACAAAGAGGGAGTCAAGGTCCCATGGAAGAAAAGTCTCTATTAAATCTGTCAGTTTTGATGGACTTCTCAATATGATACATTAGTTATACCTAACAAGTCCTGCTCTTGCAGGCTCTCAAGGATGTTGAGAATCTTCTGTGAAGCATCCAGCGACATGCTTAGAAGAGGCCTGATCTTGCGAGACGATAGCAGCGGTCCCACCTCTTTTGGAGACTCGAACACTTTCTTCAGACAACAAAACAGTAGTGGTCTCGTTGTTACAACGATTGTCTACGCAAAATGATCAGCGGGAAACCCAGTGTAGAAGTTCCATTGAGTTCAGACATGCATGTACGGTACGATAAACTAGGTAGATATTACGTTCACGCAGCATACATGGAGTATTAACGTACCTGATAGTACATTAGATGCAGATGTGCAGGCATTCTTGATATACCACCGAGCCGCTCGTCGGAATGCAAAGGGAAGGAATTTCGTAGCTCCTCTGCGATCGCTGCCATGTCGTAGAGCAGAGCCTTGATACTAATGACAAACTTCTTACGAAGCCAACCTTTCGGGCCATAAACGCCTACGTATTGTTAGCCTGGAACGAATCTATGCCCGATTTGATCGCCATCGTGTTGGATAATATCAGTGACCAGAGCTCAGCCGACTTACTCCTCGCTATATCCGCGTATATACGCGCGAGCCTGATCTGCATCTTCAGCGCTGCTGTCCGCTGAACAGAGCCAGGAAAGTGTGTGAGCTGGCACGTTATCTCATCGTCCCGTATGGACTGCGGTACGCCCATCTGCGAACTCATCTGCCTGTCAAGAATATAGATGGACCACCAGATCTTGCGACATCGCTGAACGAACGCTTCTCCTAGTTCTGAAACTGGCATGTCCGTGTGCATACCCTCTGCTAATGCTATTCGCATCGCTTGGCCTATCTTGATGGTACTCAGTGATTGTGACAAATTTGTAAGCAGGCAAAGCTTACTGTTACATGTGCGGCGTTGCGCGAGTCTAGTGCTTGCAGATAGAGAGCGATACCGCATAGTATCTCTGATGCCAAGAGTGGTTCTCGGCACAATCGGCTGGTATCAGGTAGTAGCTGAAGAGCGTGTACGAAGAAATCGGCTCCAGGCGGCTTAGATGCTTGGTGTTTGCGTTGTACAAGTGTCCTTCCAAAGGCAATGATTAGTAGAAACTGAACATACCACAAGCCGCCCTGAAGCTTGTTGGGTTCTGCATTCCCGTAGAACGCATACATCTTGGCGTTGAACTCTTCTTCATCAAACAAATGTACCAACTGACCACAATGGAACTTGACAGCATTGACAAGAAATATGGCGTAGTCGATACTTGGAATGACAGGAGCATTTGTCTCTAGCAGACTACGAGTGCCGTCCTGGGAATGGTATGCAAGTCAGCAAGGTACACAAGGCCAAGGCCTTCAATATATCAAGTTATGACAACTTAACCAAGGAAGATCGTACGCCGACCCATCGAACAGGAAGTCTGTTCCGGGCAGAGGGGTTCTGCGGATATGCTGATGAACTACATTCAGCACCTGGCCATGAAAAGACCAATTGGAGGAGGTCCCCAAGTAGAATGCCCTCCCGGATGAAGCGGCCATGAACTTCGAGGGCGATTCAAGCAAAGGGTTTGTCAATTCATGGCTTTCCCCATTCCCCTGATCTGTCTTTGGAGAGTTGTCCCGCGTCTCTGTAGGACTCGATCGAGAGGTCTCCCGCGGTTCATGGTCACCACCACGAGGGGGCTGGAGAGATTGTTCCCGGCGGAAGCTGCCAGCCTGAACTTGATGCTCGCCATGCTCTCGAGATTCACGGACCAAGCCAGGGGTAGTTTCTCTGTGGTTCAGCCTTCGCTCCAAACGAGCGACTTTTTGTTGCAGGTCAGAAAGGTAACTATTAATTCGTCAGTTTGTAGATTGCCATTGCATTCCAAAAGGCGAAATAGGTTTCTGATTCGGGACAGATAGCGGAATCGTGCCTGTTGATCTCACCAAAATTAAACAAGGCCTGACTCACCCCTGCGTGACCAGCACCTTATTGTCCCGATCATCAAAAACACAACTCAAGTTCCTCTTGATACAGTTTGTACAAGGCTCCGGTCCCGAGCACTTGATCTTCTGCCGTCGACACCGTGAGCACCTTCACTGATAAGCGATTGCACGTCTATCGGAAGGGTTCCCTACGCGTTGGAAGATCGCTTAGAAGCGCGTCGCTGTTCGCTCGAGTTGGACATCGTCTGCATTGCAGTCATAAAGGTGTCACATGGCTAGCTGCAGCAATGCAACGAACTCACGATATACAGCTATAGGCAGCGTGGGCTGAGATGAGGTCAAGCGTCAGGTTACGAGATGGCAATTTGCGGGAAGTTCAACGCTAGTGGAACGTGGTAGAACGTAGCCGTCTAGCGACTCATTCTTTAATCTGAGCTTTCTACATGTGTTCTCCGTTTCCTTCAACAAACGCTCCCTCACGAGAGGCCCTTCGAATTCACACGTCATCTGATATGCAGCCTGCAGGTTTGAATCTACTTGCGAGATATTGTTCCCTCAGGATACTACGGCACTTTTAATTCTAGCGCATGCATGCGCCACCGGCTGCCCATCCGAGCGAGATGTCGGGCGCGCTCCCGATCCCCACATTGCATCGGTGCTGCCCAGATATCGCGATTACGGGCTATCTGGCTTGCTAAAATGTAGACTCACAGGCGCGATAACGATGAGCTCATCACTTTCACGAGCGCCGAAGCTACGTGATCGATGTTGCTCCGGTTCAGCCCGGCCAAGTTGATGCGCCCGTTCTGTAGCATGTGGATGTGGAACTCAGCGGCAAGGCGTTCGCATTGCTGGGGGCTCAGCGGAAGGAAGCAGAACAGGCCATTTGACGAGAGGATCGAGCTCCAGCTGCCCGGGGCCTTTGGACATATCGGAATCAGCCAAATGCCATCAAGTGAGCGCAATGGGAAGTACTCACACTACGCTTCTCAACCAGCTCCACGTGCAGTGCTTTTCTGTTGTCGGCAAGACGCTTCTGAATCTTGTCTAATTCTGCTTGCCAGTCCTGTCGCAATTCCTTGTCGCTGAGTATAATGTTCACTAGCCGCGCGCCATACGCCGGACTTGACGAGAACTCCCACCGAATCAAGCACCTCAATCTCTCATACACCCTCGCCGCAACATCCGCATCCTGACTCACAGCATGCAGCACACCAACCCTCTCCCCATACAATCCAAAGTTCTTCGAAAAAGACTGACAAGCGAGGAGTTCCAAGTTTCTGCCCGCAAACAATCGCAGACCATATGCGTCTTCATCCAGCGACGCACCCAGCCCCTGATACGCCATGTCGAATAGCGGGAACAGCTTCTTCGCCTGCATCTCATCGGCGAGCGTATCCCACTGCGCAAGCGAGAAGTCGGCACCGGATGGGTTGTGGCAGCATCCTTGCAGCACGAATATGCTCCCTGCATATGCGGTTCTCGTCGCTGTAAGCAGCGAGTCGAAGTCTACTGTTCCGGTCGAGACATCGTAGTGCCTGTACGTCACCACTTCGAAGCCAACGAGGTTGAACAGCGGGACGTAATTTCCCCGCGCTGGGGTCCCGATGTAGACTTTCTTTCCTTTGAATGAGGGCGTACGGGCGAGGAAGAGGGCGCCGAGGTGGATGGCACCCGTGCCTGAGATGGCCTGTACAGAAGTCACTCTCCCCGAAGACAGGATATCCGCCTCCCATCCGAATAGCACTTTCGCAGCGTTAGTCAGGAACGCCGTGCTGCCGGTTGTCACTTCGTAGTCGTGATTCGCGTCTTGCTGTGCGAGGATACGCTTTGCCTGTGCCCTTTGTGATTAGACTTGAATTACCAATTTTGACTGGCGTACAGACCGCCCCCAACGCCCTCAGCTCGTGATACAGCCCCCTCTCATTCCTATACACGCCAAAGCCAAGGTCAACTTTCTCAGGCGCCGTGTCCTCGCGTACCTGCTGCGAGAGGAGATACACGGGGTCTGCGGGGCTGGGGGCAACGCTGCGGAACATGTTTGTAATTGCACAAAGCCCTGATAGAAAGTCGCTACAAAGATGCCGTGGGAACATGAGGTACACACGATTTTTGCACTTGCATATATGTATACATGTATACTGGACTATGCTCTAGCCGTGTTGGGCGTCGGAGCCATGTATGTGCGATTCGAGCTGTATGCCCGGAATGTCGCCCGAGTGGCCGCATATTCGCGGACGCAGAGAGATGCAGGCTGGCAATCCGAGGCTCCGCGCTGATTGTGATGCGTGACGTGTGTCGTTCCCGCGCCAGGACTTGAGGGCTGGCGGACTGGGTGGCTGCGAGCAGCGAACATTGTGCCTAATCAAAGCTAGCTTCGCGCGAGGGCCTCAAATCCAGCGTGAGCAGTTTGGCTTGTTTGTAACGTTTTGGTATTTTCGGACACTCGCCCGTCCTAGACACATCCGTCTCAGACGCTACCTTGAAGTGCTGAAGAGTATCATTATAGTAACTACTGTACAAACTATATAGGACTTAAGTCCTTTTTGTAAAAAGGCTAAGAACTGCGTGTAAGGTACTATAGAGGCCGCTTTTCTGTTCAGCCTAATGCTACATTTTGAGAACAGTCTTTTCAGGGCAGAGTTGAGTGTCTAGGTCCCATATCGACAGGAAACAAGAATTCCTCACTCAGGCCAAAACCGCCATAGGTGGGCATTTCTGAACTCCAATCCCAATGATCGAAAATGGAGAAAGCCGTGCTGTCTGTATCGAATACATCGTTCATTTCGCCGGTCAAGTTGAAATCTGCTAGCATGCCATTACTATCATCCAAAGCAGGACGTTCGTATGAAGGTCGACGGGAGGGAAGCCTGGTAGGTCTCCCGGATGGATCCGTGGCTGGAGAAAGTCAGTTTTGTGAGTTCATAACGTGTAGACTATCGTACAGTGTGCTCGTGCCCGTTCTCGGAGGGAACAGAGGTGCTCCAAATTACTTTGCACTCTTCCGTGGTCTCGTCCAATATGCTGAAGAGATCTGACACAGCTCTGCCACATATTGTCTAGTTGATCTTGTTCAAACGGGCTTGCTCCAACCTTTGCACCCTCAGCAAGTATGCAAATTCCGCCGCAGGTAATGAGATCTGGGAACAATGAGCAATTTTTATACAAGCATGGGCAAGATGACATACAAAAGAGACTGAACCACCAGGCACCGGCAGTACCCGCCACTATAGCATTCTCAATCACAGTTGCAAGTTCACTGGCAGTTTGGACACACGTTTTGGCACACTGATCCAGTAATCCAGCATTAAGAGCATGTCCCTTTGCTCGGAGTAGCCCATGCACTCGGGAAAGATCTTGTTCACGCCGGTTCAGAAAGTTAGAAGCCACGAACGAGCTGAATGTTGGGCGATATAGCAGTATTCGAAGGTGAAGAAATCGTGCATGGAGAACATTGGTCTGACGACTATAGATGTAATCCACCTGCTGGTGTCTCTCTGGATCCCGGTCCCAGTTTAATTGTTCGGGTAGATTTGACTTGAAGTCTTCAAGAAGATTGTCAAGCCGTATCAGAGTGCCAATATCGGGCAACGTATGTGCATTGGCAGTATGGGCTTGCCCAGTAGAAGTGGTTCGCGAATCCGAGAAGTAAACAGTATCAAGTATTGTACCTAAGAGTTTAGCAAGTTTGATGTTCTCTACCGTAAATAGATTGTGGGATGGCACTCCGTCAGGTTGTTGGCAGGTATCTCCATGCACATCCAAAAACTCGTCGTCAACGGCGGTCGGCAAGGGCACGTCGTCCGTTACCTGGAGCAATGGACGTCGACCAAGAGTCATACATACAGTCCTAGTAAAGAGAGTTAGCGAGTTTCTAGGTTTCTTTAGTCCCTCACGTCGGAGAAAAGATCGAATATAAACTGATTTTAACAGAGGACATCTCGCAGTGGATACCTATCCAACAACTGACCCTAAGCCGCGAGGTAGGAACGATGCAGGCTAAATCTTGCATCTCCTCAAAAGGTACAGTCGCTGCGAAGCGGCGCACTTCCTACTCTGCATTCGCTATGCGCAGGTTGTATATCGAGACGTCCTTGTCGTCCACTTTGACGATCAAACTTTCGCCATGAGGACGGGAAACAAAACTATAGTTCGTTCGATAAATAGGGCTGTTGTCCTTCAGGAACTTATTGAAATAACAAAAATAGACAGGATTACTTCAAAGTCCACGATGAGGGGGCCAGATACATCTAAACGATGATGCGTGATACTCACATTTCCATCTGGAGACAGCCGAACCATACCCTTCTTCGTATTTCGTTCTCAGCGCAAGAGCGACGTCCAGCGTGCCGGTTTGAGTTGAGCCCTATACCAACAGCCATGCGGCAAGCAAGTCCAACAACGTTGTAACATCGAGTCGGTAGCTCTGTCGTAAGAAGCCAGTGCGAGACAAGTAAAAGAGCCTGGACTTGCCCAAGACCTGCTTGATCAAGCAGATCAACATGCATCAAATCGTTCATTCGATCACCGAACGTCGCACAGACTGACTGCTTGTTTGGTAAGCCGGCGCTAAATTCGCAGCCCAATGCAAACATTGCATTGAGTGCGCAGAAGAATGCGGAAGGTGGGCATCTATCCCCTCCTAGGCCGATATCACGATGTAGAAGTACCGATGGCTCAGGGTAGCCTTCTTTCGTCCACAGAGACTCATACCTGGCCCGAAAGCTGACAGAATGACACCAAGGATAAAATATATGGACATTCTGGAAGAAGCGGTCGATAAGCCTATCTGCGATGTTCCTTGGGGGCAGGGCGTAATGTGCTTGTATCATCAAATTTCCATTGTATCGCCATGGCATTGAAGTCGCTCCCAATGGTCCTCGTCGATGATCCCCGTGTGGGACCTCTTGAAGCAATGAATGAACGGAAGATTGCCCATAGAATTCCTCGTCTCCAAAGGGGCCTCTCTGTGATGTTGCCACAGCCCCCATGGCACTCACAGGGCTTGGGCCTTCGACATCTACAATGGCATGCACTGGAATCTCTTCCCGCTGAGCATCTCGGGTACTGGGACTTCCAGAGACCCTTTGAGGCGGAGCTTGGAACGGCGAGGTCTTTAGGTCTTCCACCGTGGCATGCAATTCGCGTACCTGTCGCTGAAGCGATGCGATATACCTGTTCATCTTTTAATCATAAATGATAGCTAGCGACTGGAACGGACTCACTCCTGTTCGCTTACATGCTTTGCTGTAGTCGATACAGTATACAGGCAGGCATGCGCCGGTTCGCCTCGTTTCTCGCACGGCCTGCACGGCTTTGCTCCGTCACAACGTATCTTACGCTCACGGCAGGCATCGCAAGCCAAAGCTACTCTTTTTCGCTTATTGAGACGTTCCGGTTCGGCGGGTTGATCCATACATGCAGCGTTCGGGTTGTGGTTAGCAGAGAAGCGTAAATCCCGGAGGGGGCCAGCAATGTACATCCGAGCCTGCGCGAATGTGCACCAATGAAAAGATAGCTTCGGGACGCATCCGTGCATCCGGAACCTTCCCCTCATCTACGTATGTATGCTGGCTACTGCGTCGGAGAAAACAAGCAGATTTAAGCACCGAGCACCCTGATTTCCAGCATTTTAATTGTCCAATTAGTATCAGAGTAAGAACAAAGACGCAAGAGACTTTAGTCCCAATCATCGACAGTATAGAGAGGCCTTGAAGTCTCGGCTTACTTCCGATTTTTCTGCGACACAGAAGCCTGGCGCCATCCTAAGATTGGCGGCCATTACAAAAGCAAGACATTTTAATCGTACCTGTTCACTGAGTATTCTACGCATCTGTTTTGAAAAACCCATTCAGATTATCATGCTTAAGAGAACATTGAGCTCGCGACTTTTGGCAGGACGAGTGTCACGAAGAGCACTGTCGACCATTCCCCATCATGCGAAAGGCGATCATCAAGGCTGGGGGCAGCGTACGAAGTACAGTGGAATTCTCTTGGGATCAGCTTTCTCAGCCGCTGCTTTAGGGACTGGTAGCCTTATCACGGGTCGAGAAGAGCGGGTCGATGCACCAAAAATAAAGATCCCAAGCTATGCAAGTCGCGAGGAGATGGAGCAGGTAAGCATTGCGAGCACATCAAGACTAGCCAGAACTAATATTCAGGCTGTAGGCTGTTCACGATATTAGAGAGATGTTAGGCGAGGATGCCGTGAGCATCGAGGATGAGATCCTGCGTAGCCACGGATATTCAGATTGGTCCACCATAAACATCGATCGACTCCCAGTTGCTGTAGTGTTTCCCAAGTCTACAGAAGAAGTATCGCAAATTGCCAAAATATGTTACAAATACCGAGTTCCAATCAGTTGAGTCAACACGGGTGATTTTTATTTCGTAAACTAATTGATATTAGTTCCTTACTCTGGTGGATCCAGCGTCGAAGGTCATTTCTCTGCTCCATATGGTGGAGTAAGCGTGGACTTTATGAACATGGCGCAGATCTTGACCATACACCAAGAAGAGTAAGTCTGACTCATGAAGTAATGACTAATACTGATTCAACTTAGTATGAACATTGAAGTTCAGCCATCGGTGTCGTGGTTGGAGATGAATGAGAAGATCAAAGACACTGGGCTCTTCTTCCCCATAGATCCTGGTCCTTCGGTAAAATTGTCTCTACGTAATAAAAGACCTATACTAATGCCATTCACAGGCACAGATCGGTGGAATGATTGGAACTAATTGTAGGCAAGTGCAAATATAACGAATTATCTGGAATGATTCTCACATGCAGTAGTGGCACGAATGCAGTCCGATACGGAACCATGAGGGATTGGGTAGTAAATTTGACTGTAGTTCTTGCTGATGGATCCATTGTGAAAACCCGCCGGCGGCCGAGAAAATCCTCAGCAGGATACAGCCTGAATTCACTCTTCGTTGGATCCGAAGGCACTCTTGGTCTTGTTACAGAGGCCACGCTGAAATTAGCACCCATTCCCGCCGAAAATGGAGTAGCGGTAGTCACTTTTCCCACCATCAAGGACGCAGCAAGCATGGCCGCAGAGGTGATCAATGCAGGAATCCCGATAGGAGCGGTTGAAATCCTAGACGACGTACTGATGAGGGTGATAAATCGTATTGGAAACACGCCAAGGAAATGGGCTGAGGTCCCCACACTCTTCTTCAAGTTCAGTGGCAGCAAAGTGGCGGTTGCGGACAGCATCGAACAAGTGCAAAAGATCGCGAAAAAGTTCAGAACGATTGATTATCACTATGAGAGCGATCCTGTGGAGCAGAAGATGTTGTGGTCAGCGAGAAAAGAGGCTCTTTGGAGCATGCTCGCGTTGAGGAAGACGGACGGCCATGTATGGTCGACCGATGTTGCTGTTCCTCTTTCAAGAGTAGCAGAACTTATCGGTGAGAGTTGTGAGTAAATGAAAACCAACTCCGGACTGACAGCGAAACAGAAGTCTCAAAGAAGGATCTGGATAGTCTAGGACTCTTCGGGAGCGTTCTCGGACACGTGGGAGATGGGAACTTCCACGAGACTATATTATTCGAGGAAAAGGATCGTGAAGCGGTCGAGCAATGTGTCCATAAAATGGTACAGAGAGCTCTAGAGATGGAGGGCACATGTACTGTAAGTCAACAAGATCATAGGATCCCAGGCGGCTCTAGCTAACCAAAACAGGGTGAACATGGAATTGGGCTAGGGAAGAAGGAAATGTTACATGAAGAGCTTGGTGAAGGCCCGATTGAGCTTATGCGCTCAATAAAAAAGTCCATGGACCCGAGGTGGCTGATGAATCCGGGAAAGATATTTGATTATGCTTGATATGGTGTTGTGGTACTCATAACAATTCGCCATATCAACAAATTGTCGCTGAATAAACAGGTGGGAAGCAAGCAGGCTACTATTTGCTCCAAGTGCTTATGTACGAGGCTATTATGCAAGGAGCATTTCCCTCTCTGATATGTGCTAACCTAATCAGCATGAAGCTTATGAATGAAGAATCATTGCGCACAAAAGAGCCCACACTGACGGGAACCAGAACAAAGCCCTTGAAGACTGTCTTTGCTACGCTAATGTATGTAATTGTATTCGTACTCGTTCTTTTCTATTTTCTTTATATAGCGACATCCAAAACTGCCGAAGCACCATTCTCCATGCTCTGGACAGCGCTCTTCAAAGCAGACTGTAGCTGCTCAGCATCGGCAACTCGAGCGGCGAAAATGACTCCATCACTCGAAGCCCTTGCGATCTCGGAGTAATTTGGACTCGGTGTGAAGGAGATGTTCAACTCCTCTCGTGTTGCACGTGATGCAGGCCCGTCAGGATGAACGAGCAGCATGGATCTCCGAGGCGCGTTCCAGCCCTCATTGTTGAGCACAATCGTGAGTATTGGAATCTGATATCGTGCTGAAATCCAGTACACACTGGACGGAACACTGAAAAGGAATGAGCCGTCTCCAACGATTTGAACCACAAAGCGTGGTTTCCGTCCATTCTTTGCGTCTTCAGCATCAGCTGCCATTTTTATTCCAAGTGCGCCTCCGCCGCTCCATCCGAGACCACCGCCTCCGCAGTGGATCCATTGTCCCGGAATTGTAGCTCGGACCTGATCGGCAACAATTGTATGGTTTGTGATTGCTTCGACAGCATAAATCGTGTCTTGAGGAAGGTGCTTGCGGATTGTAGAGCAGACGTAAGCTGTACTGAGCTTGTCGGTCAACTTTGCCCTCTCATCCAAAATCTGAATACGTTCCTGGTATGATGCTTGAAGTTTTTCCCAACGACGGTCAAACTCCGGAGTCGCCAGTTTCTCGGCCAAAGTCGTGTTCAGGTACGCTGTGATCTGAGAAATTGCGATCTCAGAGTCGACACGGTACCGTTGCTGAGCGTTAATGTAGAATAAGAGCATTGACTGTTTCAATGGGTCTACATCGAAATGGAAAATTTTTGCTGATTGTTTGGGATTGCATTGAGTCTGCATCCATGGTACATCGCAATCAAATATGAGTATGACATCGGCCGTTGTGATGGCATCGTCTGCTCCATACTTCGTTCCCAGCCAACCAGGATGATCAGCTGGAAAGCACATGTCGGAGCCTCCCGTATCCAAAACCCGTAAGCCCTTCACAGTGTTTGCTAGAGATACCAAAGCTTTGACAGACGCACGGTTTCTTCCGCTATAACCTGCTATAACGAGTGGTTCCGAAGCTGCCACCAAATTCTCGGCGATATGTTGTACAGCTTCTTCTGGGAGCGCTGAAGGTCCAATAGGTTGCCAATTCTTCAGGTCAATGCTATAAGGCTCGATTTCTTCCTCCATGACTTCACGTGCGCCCATTAGGTAAACAGGTCCTTGTGGGTGACTTGTGGCAAATTGAAGGGCTCGTGCCACCATTTGTTTTACGTTCTTGCCAGTCTTGAGCTCACCTACGTATCGGCAATACTGCGATATGATCTGCTTCTGATCAGGGACATCTTGTATCCAGTGACTGTGGTGGTCAGCATGATTAATCTCTACAAGGCAATTGAAGCTGGAAAATGTACATGAACTCTGTCCGAGAGCCCCGCATCTCTCCCTCGAGGGTGAAAGGAGACAACCCGGCGAAAATCAGGACGGGAGCACGGCCCATGGACGCATTATGGATCGCAGCTCCCAAAGCTGATGTGCCAACGTCAACATGAATAATGACGCATTGAGGCTCTCCACTTTGTCTTGCGTATCCATCGGCCATAGACAACGCAACCATTTCATTAGGACACGTGATGATGCGTGGAAATTTGTCTGGCATTTCTCGTTGGCCTTTGACCATTGCTTCGAGAATACTCGGATGATCTGAGCCTAAGTTGACGAAACAGTGCTTCACCCCTGCATCTGTTAAAGCCTCGAAGAAGGCAAACGAAGTTGTATACCTGTTTACACAAGTCATTTTTTTGATAGTATACTCCGGCTGCAGCACTTACATGATGGCGTTTTTGGTTTTTGTCCACTTTGACTTCGCCGTCGTGGTTTCTGTTCGATCCGACGTTTTTTGAAGGTAGCAGGCGATTTGTAAAAGTTTTTTGAGTCGTTTTTTTTTTCATAAAGTTGTTCCATTTGAATGCATACTTGCCGCTGTAGGTCGCGGTAGTGATATCCGGTAGTGACTAGGTAGAGTGGGCCAGCGGATGCTTCCCGATCATTTGGAACGTTTCCAATTGGCCATCGCACAAACCTCGGAAAATTATACATGTCCAATCAGGCTCTCGCCTCGCTCAGATGAGTCGCATTTTGGATACGAATTCAGCATTCCGTACCCGATTGACAATTGGTTTCAGACCCAAATTTTGGATTGTTGCGTTTCTGCCGATCGGTCCATGTCATACTTGGGGCTCCATGATTTGATACATCCGTGCCAAGGCGTAGCCACTTGCTTTGGAAGAATAGCCGAACGCCGCTACCGAGGCATTCGGGTAGGTTCCGGGCTGTGGGTCATCCACCAGAAACTGAGTATTGGTCAAACACGTGAGAGCAATTGCATTACGTTGAAAAGATCTCGTAGATGCAGGCAATTAACGAAAACATCGACAAGCAAAAATGACGCCAGTTCCCGAACTCCTGGAGCGCTTAACAGTAGAAGAGAAGATTAGCCTTCTGGCAGCTACGGATTGGTGGCGCACCCCTGTAATTGACCGGAATGGGGTTTATGTACCACAAATCAAGGTAAGTCTTTATATCTCAAGCTCTCCCTGATCGCGGCTAAATATGCAGATGTCTGACGGCCCGAATGGAGCTCGCGGAGAGAGCTACGTGAGCGGAATTACTGCTGCCTGTTTCCCATGTTCCACATGTGTGGGTGCTACATTCGATGTCTCCAGTGCCTATCGCCTCGGTCAAGAAATAGCAAGAGAGGCACATACAAAATCTGCGAAAGTACTTTTAGCCCCTACGATGAATATCATTCGATCGCCGCTTGGGGGACGTAATTACGAGACTTTCTCAGAGGACCCGTATTTGATTGGCACTCTGGCAGCAGCATTTGTCAACGGTTGTCAATCAGAAGGCATTGCAGCGACCCCAAAACATTTTGTCGCCAACGACTCAGAAAAGCGACGGACCAAGATGACCTCTCAGATTGATGAGCAGACTTTGCGAGAAATTTATATGCTCCCATTTCAGCTCGTGATGCGAGAATCAGATCCGTGGTGCTTCATGACCTCGTAAGTAAAGCAAGCCGTTAGCTGGTGCATGCGGCGGCCTCATGATTTTTTCATATTGCTCCGCATCGAGGTTTCCATAAGTCAACATGTCCTACCGGAGATTCCCTAACCCACGTGTTTGACCCTCGTACTGATACAGAGACTAGGTACAATCGTCTTAATGGAGAGTATTGTGCAGACAGCCATCGCCTTCTAGAAACAATACTTCGGAAAGAATGGGGTTTCCGTGGTGCTGTTGTATCAGACTGGATGGGAACCTATTCCACCGCTACAGCAATCAAAGCTGGCCTCGATCTCGAAATGCCCGGTCCAACCAAACAGCGCGGGCAGAAGCTTTTGGACGCAATTAATTGTGGTGAATTAGAGCTAGGCGATATCGACAAATGCGTTATGAGGGTGCTGGAATTAGCCGTGAAGACTGGTTGCTTTGAAAATCCCAAAGAGAGTCCCGAGAAGTCAGTTATCGACGAAGACAGGCTTAATTTCATTACGGATGTGGCCGCCGAAGGTATGGTGCTGCTCAAAAACGCTGGAAATATCCTTCCTGTGGCCCGATCTTCTCGCATCGCTGTCATTGGTGAATTCGCAACCAACCCTAGCATCGGCGGAGGTGGTAGCGCTAAGGTCCTTGCGCAGCATATTGTGTCTCCGCTAGATGGTTTCCAGCTACGTGGGATAAACTGTCAGTACTCGGCAGGAGTTCCTGTGTCTCCAACCCTTCCACATATTCCTACAGGTTCCTCGGTTCACCTCGAATGGTTCAATGGTTCCGTTATAGGCATGAACAGGGTGCACGAGCAAGACATCAGTAATGCCGAGTACATGATCAAAGAAGCTTGGCCTACGTATCTCGACGAAAACTACTGCACTCTGATGAGGTTCTCGCTCACACCAGGATCTACTGGAGATCATATGTTTTCAGTAATTACTACTGGCGAGGCGAGGGTTTTCTTGAATGGTACAGAGATCTTCCACAGGCCCCAAGAACAAGACCTAATGCTTGAGTCATTCTACTTTTACAAATCCAAGATAGAACGCCGATTCAGTACTTCAATGATCCAAGGTCAGACCTATGAAGTAGAGGTCCATTCTTGGGCAACGGATCCTAGCGTCCTTGCACGAATAAACGGACGAATGTTCCAAGGATCATCGCTACGTTTTAGGGAATATGTCGACATACCGAAGGCAATAGAAGAGGCGGCAGACACCGCAGCGAATGTGGATTATGCACTAGTATTCGTTGGAAACACGAATGAAATTGAGTCGGAAGGTTATGATCGGGATACGATGGATCTCAGTCATGACCAATACCGTTTGATCGCAGCTGTTACTGCACGCAATCCGAAAACAGTGGTCATCAACTTCTCTGGGTCTCCAGTCACTGTTTCACCTTTCATTGAACAAGTCCCTGCCTTCTTGCAGAGCTGGTTCCCGGGCCAAGAATGTGGCCATAGTGTTGCGAAAGTCGTACTTGGCGAGGTAAATCCTTCTGGACGATTGCCACTTTCCTGGCCGAAGAAGAACGAGGATAACCCAGCCTACGGAAATTTCCCTTGCGACGACAATGATGTTCTTGTCTACGAGGAAGGACTCAAGGTCGGATACCGGTATTATGATGATGCCACAGCCCCAGAGCCACAGTTTCACTTTGGATCAGGCCTATCATATACAAACTTTACACTATCTCATTTGCAGATCGAAAGTAAGACATTCAAAGCTCCTGAAGATGTCAAAGTCAAAATTACATGCGACCTGACCAACACTGGTCCTAGGGATGGGAAGCAAGTTGTGCAGATATACGTTGGTCCCAGGAGAAACACCTCACGACCTATCAAAGAACTCAAGGCATTTACTAAAGTTTTTGTAAAGGCTGGAACGAAACGAAGTGTCTCCGTGGATCTCACTAAATATGCGTTCAGCTCGTACAACACTGCTGCAGGGAAATGGCAACTGAACGCAGGTGACTACTGCATTTACGCTTCTTTCTCTGCGAAGATACACGAACAGGTTGTTCAGATACATGTTCCGGAGACACAGTTCTGGACCGGCGTCTAAATCCGGATACGATTTCATTGGCCTCGACGGGGCAGATTAGAGCACGCCGCTTGCCAGCTGATGTTTGAAAATTCGAGGATTCGAAATTGGGACTTGGTTATCAAGTAGAAGAAGTGCTCATAGCCTCATTTGCTACGTATGATCCCTTAGACGTCATGACGACATATACATAAGCTTACCATGCATCATCTTTGCTGTCACTAGATCAACTCACGTTTAGGTTGACTGCAATTCTGACTTTTTCTTCTAGTCCCATTTTAGGAAATAAACACTCTCGAGTTCATACCCAGTATGCGAGACTTCTCCACATAACTAATGTATGTGGTCTATTCATTTGGAACCCCTTGCTGGCCGCTAAAAGATCGGAGAGAATCATGATCAATCGCCGAAGCTTGTTGAAGCCATTGTGTGTAATATTCATAACGCCTTGGAAGCCAGATAGTTTAGTGAAACTGTACTTGGGAAGTCGGTGTCTTGTCTAAAGAGATGGACCACATGCATTCAAATCATCTGGCGCCCACTTGCAATCGCTTCCGGTAGAGCGAGACTTCGTCTTGAATATGTTATAGACCCAATGCTTGGTTTTTCATAATCATTGTTAACCCATAGTTCGTTTGAAGAAGCAAATTACATAGATTGTCACATTCGAAAATTCGTTTGACCAATACCTAGGTATAATTCGCGACATGGCTAGAGCATTGCACAAGTTCGTGGATGGCGAGGGATTTCATTCTTGTTTCTGGCTGCGTACTCTCTTAATATCTTTCTGTGATATGACGCTAGGATAATTGTCGGGTCGGGTTTTGCCCCTATCGTGCGGTTCTTGAGTCAAGTGGGCTACAGCTAGATTGTGGAGGCTGCATCCGTGACACGGACGCTCAACAACCACCACCTGGAAGCTACCCGAGGAACCAATCATATTAATGCCGTGACCATGTTTTCCCATCGGAGTTGTTCCGTGCGGGGCCCCAGAATTTCTCCTCTTGCCGCCAAACATACCCATGGGGAGAAAACTAGCGACGGAAGTGTGGAGAACAATCGGCCCACATTCCAATTGCATGTCTATATGACGAGCTCGAGGATTCATCTCTGCAGGACATCACCACCCTGGTCTTCACCTCGCACAACGCATATTAGATTTCGCATCTCTAAATCTCGTCTTGACCACCGAAAGCGCACAGGGTATTCAGGTTAGAATATGGCAGAAAAGCAGAGGAACGAGCGACGGACGAGCGTCACTGTAATGCTGAATCCAGGGCGTGAATTGGACGATCGTATCACGGAACTCGCTGCTCAAGCTCCACCGTTCTGGAAGAATTCGAATCTGTTCAAGCTTTATCTCTTGATGATCCCAGGATGTTTGTTTCCGGCTATCACACTGGGTTTCGATGCAGCCATGATGAATGGCTTGCAGGCAGTGCCCAGATGGGACCAGTGTAAGTCTTTCTATCTGTAACACTAGGATTGGGCAGCAAAGGCTCACAAGATCAGACTTTGATAAACCCCGTGGGGCTCTTCTCGGTATCATGTCCGCTATTCTCCCTCTCGGTTGCTGTATCGCATCACCATTCGTGCCTCTAGTTGGTGACCGTTGGGGCCGAAGAGCTGGCATTTTCTTTGGTGCCGCCGTCATGCTGTGTGGAGGTATAATTCAGGGAACATCCGTGAACTGTAACTATGCATGATATTCCGAGTTGACGCTATTCATGCACTGACATTTTCAAGTTGCCATGTTCCTCGTCTCTCGTTTCATCATCGGCTGTGGATTGGTCTTCGCCAACGCTTACGCACCAATGTTGATTGGAGAGCTCGCGCATGCAAAACAGCGTCAGGTTATCACCTCTCTCTATCAAACATCCTGGTACATTGGTGCCATCCTCGCCGCTTGGACCACCTTCGGAACATTTAGTATGCATAGTGATGCGTCGTGGAGGATACCTTCCTACCTACAGGCAGCACCAGCTATTATACCTATGGGCTTCATCTTCTTCCTCCCCGAATCCCCACGTTGGTTGATTGCGAACGGACGAGCAGACGAGGCGAAGGCGATGCTTGTAAAATGGCACGGCAATGGCGATGAGAATGATGAGTATGTCAAACTTGAATTTCAGCAAATGCGAAACGTTATCGAGGCTGAAGTAAATTCATCCGCCGGATGGAAGACTTTGTTCGCTACCCCAGGTAACAGGAGACGAGTTTTGATCTTGGTGTGCCTGGGATGCTTCAGTCAATGGTCTGGCAATGGCCTTGTTTCGTAAGTCCTTCTAACCATGTGTTGCGATTATGCGACCACGTTTAACCCATTCTATAGCTACTACCTTGTCCGCGTCCTGGAGACTGTTGGTGTGACGAATGCTCGTGATAGAAATATCTTGAACGGATGCCTAATGATTTTCAGTACGTTCTACACCTTTGTTTTGGCTATGCAAACATGTCTAATTCATATTCCAGACTGGATCACCTCCGTCGTCTCTGCCTTCCTTACAGCCCGTTTGAAGCGCCGAACACAATTCCTTGTCTCTGTGTTTGGTATGCTTGCTGTCTTTGCCACACAAACGCTGTGTGCCGGACTCTTCAACGTGAACAAGGACCACCAGGCAGGACAGGCCGTCATCGCTATGCTTTTCCTGTTCTACATATTCTACAATCTGGCCTTCAACGCTCTACTCTACTCCTATCCTGTGGAGATCCTGCCGTATCCGATTCGAGCCAAGGGATTCTCACTGCTGATGTTCTTCGGTAAAGCTAGTAACTTTATCAACATCATGGTCAATCCCATTGGTCTCAAGGCTCTTGAATGGAAATTCTACTTCGTCTACGTGGCATGGCTGAGCATCGAATGCCTGATAATCTACTTCTTCTTTGTGGAGACCAAGGGGCCAAGTCTGGAGGCTATTGCGGCGGTCTTTGACGGAGAGACGAATGGGACTCCTGATAGTGCCGACGAAATCGAACGTGGTGATGATCTTAACGAGAAGAAACAATGGAATGCCGTTCACAAAGAATAAAGCCGGCATATCCAGGGTTTGCGACTAGGTCGAGCTGAACACACGCATAAGTGCGCTACTACTGGTTGAACCTTGATGGTCGGAATAATGCGCACTAGAACGATGAGTTATTCTCATGTGAAATCGGATAAAAAAGCAATAGCTTGAGACTGTTTTTCATGTGACTGATCGCAATCTGCTAGGACGATAGCTCTGATTTGGATTGTGGTATTATTATTCCATTATAGTCCTGTATCAGCCGTTGGCTATGTAGGACTTTGGCCGACGGCCGTTCTATCTAA